AAGGTAAACAACTGCTTAGTTTTAAGAAGACTTACGGGGGATATTTTTGGTTTAAGGTTGAAAGATTATCTTGGGGCAACAGTTTCAGAGGTTAATCCGACCTCCACGGCTCCAGAAAGCATGACATGATTTTGATTACAGCTGATTCTCATTATTCGTAGCAGTTAAGTTCTGCGAAATCTCTATGAACATTGAAGTAGTGAATACCGATCCAGCCTCGCTCAACTATGCACGTTGGACGTCTTAAGCTTTTCACTGCACTGCGCATGTGCCTGCCCGCGGGTGACCAACCACTAAAGCACTGCAAGTATTGATTTTGGGGTTACAAAGAAATTTTAGCTAGAAGGCAAACTCACAAATATGGAATTTGTGACTACTAAAGGCGGACTGTATTATGGTTCCCTTATGGTCCTGGGAGTGGCTTAATCTCTCTGTGCCTCGGTTTCCTCATTTGTATGATGGGGGTCATAGCAGGGTCTACCTCACAGGAGGTGGTAGAGATGCAAAAGGTCACCTATGTGAAGGGCTTAGAACAGTGCCTGGCACATAGTAAGCACTCAGGAGCTGTTTGCAGTGTATGCAGTACGCGACCATAGAGACCATGTAGGATCAAGCACTGGGTTGGCACAGATCACAATCACCTGAAACCAGTATACCAGTTGCCATAGAGTCAATTCTGACTCATGGCTACCCCATGTGTGTCAGAGGAGAACTGTGCTCCATACGGTTTTCAGTGGCTGATTTTTTGGAAGTAGATGGCCAGGACTTTTTCCCGAGGCACCTCCGGTTCCTCCAACCTTTTGGTGAGCAGCTGAGCAGGTTAACTGTGGGAGCCTCCAGAGACTTTCTAGAATCACCTGAGAATCTTTTAAAACTCCCAAAGCCCAGGTCACATCCCAGACCAATTAATTCACAATCTCATCAGTATTTTTTGGAAGTTCTCCAGGACAGCCCAGTGTGCCGCCAAGTCTGGGAATCATCGCTGGTCTGGAAACTTGCGGCTGAGCTGGGAGAAGCGACTTTGAAAAGATCCAGAAGCAACCATTTTGTAGTCAGAGGTGAGGCAGGATGGGGTCGGGGCGGAAGGGTCTGGGACCTCGGGGTCCAGCTAGGGGCTCTGGCTCCTGGGGACCTCGAGGGCCTGGCGGCCACCCTCCCTCCCTCCCACTCCACCCCCACCCCCATCCCCACCCCAGGCCGGGCTGGAGCCCGCTGCCTGCGCCCTCCGAGCCTGCGAGCAGGAGGCGGGACCAGCAGCACCGAGCCCGCTTGGGCGCCAGAGGGCGCTCGTGGGGACGCGCCACGGCTCCCTCCCCGCAGCTGGTTCAAACTGGTTCGGGCAGGGTGCGGCCTAGGCGGGCTGCATTCCAGGCCTTAGGTTTGCCGCCTGCCCCAGGGGCTCCCCAAAGGCCAGGGTGGCCCAGGGCAGGGACCTCCGAGGACGGGACCCTTGGGCTTGAGCGAAGAGGTTGGGGAGATTTCTAAAAATTCAAGCCTCTTTGTTTAAAATAATTTAGCTTTCCCAATGCCAGCAGTAGGGTGGGGCCCATAGATCAGGGGTTGGTCTCAGACTTTGGTGTGCATCAGAATCAACTTTCATGCTTGTTAAAATGCAGATGCCCAAGAACCCTCCCCCTCCCCCTCCCCCTCCCCCAAGACTCCGGTTCAGAAAATTTGGGGTAGGGCTCCAGATACCTGTATTTTTATATATTTTTTTATTTTTATTTTTTTTTAATTGTAC